TTTTTGGTGTTTTTGGGGGGTTTTTGTGTGTGTGCGTGTGTGTATGTTAATCACCAGCAAGTGATTTTATTTTAAATGAGCATGACAAAGCAAGGGGCCATGACAGCACAAGCACATTGTAGGAGTTCTAGCACAAATAATTTGATCTGTACCAGACGTTCATGTTCTTTGTAATCCTGGATATTCCTACACCAGCAAGGAGAGGATAGCTAAATGTAACGCCTGCACTTATTTAGCAAGCCTTTCAGGTGACTAGTTTTTATGGAACTGCTGCCTTCAGCAAGACCAGAAAACTCTGGAAAAGCAAACATTTCTTATCTTCTAGTATTTCTTGGATCTGAATCTCTCCTACCTTTCCCTAAATTATTGTTTTCTTCTTGAGAGATCAAGACTCAGAGCAGGATTTTCCATCCCTCTGCCTGGCCACAAGGACTGCTCACTGAGTTTGGAAAGAAAGACAGAGATGACTGGAACAAACCAAGCCTGTCTGCTTTCTTGATACTGTTGGCTGAAGGGAAGCTGTTTCTCTGAGCAATTATAGTATTGCTAAGCAAGTTCAAAAAGGGAATAATTCCCTGACTGACTGAAAAAAAAAAAATATCCAACTTCCTACAAATAACTTTTTTTTTTATTCTAATGGTAGAAATAGTGTCGTCTTCAATAGATGGGAGCAATTTGTCCTCAGAGTATCATGGTGAGGCTGTGGAGATATCCTTGTGCTCAGAGTGCCAAGGGAAATGTTGCACTCAGAGGACGTTCAGAATGTGTAAAATACAATTCAGCCCAGGAGACCGGATGCTTCAGTGAGCACCTCATGGCACAGCACCATTAAAGACTGTGTAAAGAAGACTTTTTTGCCAGAGACATAGTTTTCATTTTCCAGTGAAGGCCCAGGGAGTTGTTCACTCATCCCCTCTGTTAAATCAAATGACTCCTAAGCAGTGCAGCTCCATGGAAGGCTGAACCCTGGGCAGAAAAGCAGACACAAGTCCAAAGACAGCTGTAGGCCAGCCTGGGAGTCAGGGGCTGCTTGCACCAGGGCTGATTTTGGGTCCCTGCCTGCAAAGTGCAGCTCTGTGAGCCACTGCAAGCAGGAGAAAGAAAAGTGTGTGGGAGGTTTGTACCAGGGAAGAATGAAACTTCTTAATTTCAAAACCTGGTTGCCACAGAACAAAAAGCAGTTTCTTCAAGTGTTTGGAAATGGGAGTTTCTTCCTAGTAAACACTTAGGCCAGTGTTTGTTCCTTGCATAATAAAGTCACTGTAAGAGAACAGAATTAATTGTAATAGTAGTCTTTTGAAAAGACATATTTTCCTGCTCTGAGATTCTTAACATCTATTGAGATTGTCAGAGACTTAGAACATCACTATATACAGATGAAAATTTCAGTGTAGTGGAAACTGGAAATATCTAATGATTTTTAAAAGTTCGTTTCAGAATTTTTAAAAATTTATTTTCTTTCAGTTTATGTAATGTGGTTTTAACTTTTATTCTACTTTTTCACAGTATTATACAATGTGTAATTAATGACAGCATGCAACTACTTCTCTTAAGTACTCTTATTTAAATCACATTTTAAAATAACAGAGGCAAGAGAGGTAAGTGTCATTTAGCAAGTTTAAATTTTTATTTTCTTTTTTATTTCAAAGTGTCTCCTGCTTTAATTTTGACACTGGCATAAATGCCAGAACATTGCATAAACATAGAAAAAATTAAAACTTAAAGTCCCTTCAAAATTGAATAAAGAAGTTCTAGAAGCTCTGAAAATAGTATTTTCATTGTAAAAGTGATAAACTGGTAACTTATATCAGATATTATAAAAATCTAGGTTTTTACAACTAAGTTTAGATTTTTATGAAAATTATACCTTCAGACAGTACAAAAAGCAAGACTGAGAATAAATTCACGCTGGTCTATTATAGACTACTTTTCTGCAGAGTAGTTTTCATGCAAGTTTGTGAAAACATATAGACTTTTGATCTAGAGCTCTTTCCTCAGAAACATAGTTCTCACTAAACCTAAGAGACTTGTGCATGTCATTGCATGCTTAAATCTGCAGAAAGAACTGGGCCTAAAGTTCGAACAAAACAAAATTATCAGATGGACAGATAAATTATGGTTATGGAGGATATGACTAGGCAGGGATGGCTAAATTAATTCAATTGCTTAATGTTTGCCATAGGCAAACAGATACCACAGGTTAACTCTGAAACTTGCTGCAATGCTAGTTTTCATGTGTTTTAATTCTTTTTAGCAGTGTCTACTGAGAGGAATACTCTTTTAGAGAGAAAATATGCATTTATATAATTTTTATGAGAATAAATATGGAATTGATTCCAGATTTTGATGTAGCAGATAATGTAAAAAAGACATGTAAAACACATCAGTATTTAGACAAAATAATATTCTAGAAAAATTTCTTAATCTGGAGGCCAGCAGCTGGCTGTGCAGGAAAGCTAAGAGAAGCTGGACTTTCACATGTGTCACCCTAATGAACAGGAGTAGTCCTCCAATGGGGCTAAATGAGCCTTCCACAAGTGGTCATCAAATGGTGGGCATGATGCGGGAGAGGCAACCTCCTGCTCCTTTCAGACATGGCCTCCTGGCTTTAGTGAATGCCACAAAAATATACAGAGGGGAGAGAGGAGAGTACCAAGGTCCGGGCACTACCTGGGACTCTCACTGTCACCCCTATGCAAAATCACCTTTATGACTCCATGGGAAATGCGTGAGATCCCACTGCAACTCTGGCATTCAGACCTGGAAACCTCTCTCCCCAGACAAGATAACATCTGCTGCTGCTGCAATTACAAGGTGATGTGATATTAGTCAAGCAGTTTAAATGATAGCAGGCTGTGCAGGAGTAGAGAAAGTTCAAGTGTAAAGGCAGCTGTCAGTGCACAACTGAGCAGGGAGGGGGTGGAAGAGGGAATTGTTACAGCTGCACAGAATGGCATTAATTTCTAGGAGGGAAGGGTTGAGGTCTGGTAGTTTGGGACTTTTTTTGATGTAAATAGAACCTCAGAAATTAATTGCTGCCTTCAGTTAGGGAGCTGGTCAAGGAGCCTCTCTGGTGTGGAGTACCTAGCAAGAATTCCTACAGACTGATGATGTGTGCAAGTGTGTCAAGGGTGCCTCTTTCTCTGCATCACGTTTCATGCTTGCAATCTTATGGTGAAGAGAATAGAGAAGTGCTCTGACAGCATGAAATAACCCCAAGGTCAGACACACATACACAGAGTGAATCTACAAATTAGTGGCCAACTCCAAAGTAGAGGCCAACTCCAACTCCACCATCCTGTCCCTGCTCCATGTGGGAGATAATTTGTATTTGCCCAGATACTATGGAAGTTTTAATCCTAAGAAGTCTAGAGCTAAATAGGTTCTGGATTGCCTGTATGATCCTGAGGGTGGGAGAAATGCAACCCCCTGGGTGCTGCCATGAACACCTGGCCCCTGTAAAACACAGAAAGCAAAGCAGCACCCTAAGGCAAATCCTTCAAGATGCAGGTATTTCAGGGACTAAGCATCCCTCCCATCCTGACAATTCACACCACATGCATCAGCAAGGTGCTGCTGCACTGAATCCTGTATTTCACCAAGATGATTTTTTTATATTACACCAGCACCCAAAGTCAGACATTTGAGCACTTTGAAAACAACTCCTGTTCAAACCTGGGCCTCATGCTGAGTCTGTCCCATCTCTACCTTCAACTGTTTGGCTGGTATCCAGTTTTTGTGGGGTTTGGGGGTTTTCTCAGTGTGGGTTTAGGGGTTTTTTGAAAGTCTAAGTCAACAGAACAAGTCCGTGAAAAATATAACACTGGCTAATTTCCAATGAAAGAAATTTGCAGACTTAAGGAATACATGAAAAGAGCAAGCTCTGGTACAAAAAAGGGTATTTTTCCCTTGATTTCTCATGGCGTGCTGGGGGGATGGGGAGGATACGATGATCTTTGTATTTCTTATTGCCACCTTCCCTATCTCTGGAAATTATGATAAACACTGACACTGATCCTTCTCTCGCCAGAGTAAACCCAAAATAAATCTGATGTTTTTGAGTAAACTGGTTACACTTCCCCAGCTGCCCCCTCCCCACGCCCCCCTGGTATCCCCGCCGTGCCCCAAGGAGCTCAGAAAAGCCTTTGGGAGGAGGGGAAAGCTGAGAGGGCTCAGTGTTGCTGTGTTACGGAGTGACAGATAGAGCCAGCCAGGCAGTGCCCCAGCCCTGAGCATGATGATATTCATTTCACACAGCCCTTGCCTGTTCCAGCTGGAACGATAGGAGATGCAAACTTTGACTTCTACATTTGAAAGAGATATTGTTTGATGGAAGTGTGTGGGTGGCGGGTAAAACAAGCAGCTAAGTGTCAGCACAAGAAGCAAACATTCTCCTTCCCTCCCTCCCCAATGTAGTTTTTGACGTAATGAGCATTGCTCCCAATTTTCCTTCCAAATAGGCATTGCACCCGTCCCCATGGCAACTGTCATGCTCAAAAGATGTCCTGTCAGGAGGCATGAAAGGCCCAGAGACATTTGTATTAGATGGTCACAACCGTGCTAGCTAATGCCTAACAAATACACCACAAGGCTGCATTTGTCAAAATGAAGAGCACAAACATTTGTGTTCCATTAAACAGAAATTAATAAGATTCAAATAGGAAGAAACCAAACTGGACTGGGTTTTTTTGTGTATACAGCTGTGTTATGAAGTAATACAAGGAACGTTAGTATGAATAATGATTGCACATGTGCATTCAATTTATTTCTTCTACTTCTTGTATGGTCTCCTTTAACCCTTTTTCTCTATAGGTTTTTCAGAAATCAAACACAGGTTTAACAGCTGGGCAAGACAGGGATTTCAACTGCTCCTTTCACACTGCTGAAGCCCAATAGCACTTCTTTATTTAAAGGCACTCTGGGTCATTGGGAAGTTGTGCTTTTGAAAAATGTTCCCTACTTCATGATTGAGCACATAAAAATGGTGGTCTCAATTTTACCAGGGAAAAGAGGTCCAGTCTCCAAACAAGGCAGGTTGTGTCCAGAACCACTGTGCATCTTCCTACCTCCCTTGGCCACAGGGAAGTGGAGCTGATTTATCCCAGCTGAGGATCTTGCCTCGGGTCCAGGCACTGAAGGAAAATAACAAAATTGAATCATGTTTCCAGCTCAGCTGAAAATCAAAAGTGAAAGTTCAGGAAGACAGCACAGCCTCCTCCCATGACAACCCTTCTCCTGGCTCCTCATCACCAAACATAACTTAGAGCAGTTCCTTTCACCCGCTGCTGCAAGTGAACAACAAAAGTGGACTGTGTTACACAGCCTGACAATGACAGTCTGTACTTGGCTTTACTGGCCACAAAAGGCTGTGGTAGCTTTGCTTTCTCTGGTCAGCTTAACCTCATGCTTTTTCTTGTGAGAAGGGAAAAAAAAAGGAAAGTTGGCCAGGGTTCTGATTCTGCCACAGGCCCAGGCCTCCTACTCAGTGTGTGTGGGTGTACCAGTGCCTGGCCAGCCCCCACATCTGCTGCCCAGAATTATCCTTTCCCTGTTTTGACTTCCTAGCTTCACAGGCAGGAGAAATAATTGTACCAGAACCTGCATTTCCATTTCACAAGGTTTATATTCTCACAAGATCTAGTTTTGCAACAGTTTGAATGCATATATATATTTGTGCCGGGACTCTTACCTCCTCCTCCCCCTCTTTCCTCTTTTCTCCTCATACTCCTGTCTCTTTGTCCCTGAAACTCCTATTATCCCCCAACCTTCCATCTCTCTGGCTGAACTGAATAACACCCTTATCCACCCTTATAACACTGGGCAAGTGGGAGGAGAGGCAGCAAATGGAAAACATTTCTCTTTCTGGCTGTAATTGCAAAGCAGGAATGTTCTATTCCATCAGCATGCACATGTCCAGACCTGGGCTTTTGTAGAAAAGCCAACTTTCACTTAATCCTTTGGATAGACAACTATTTTTCTGGAGAAGTTTCACCAGACTCCCATATTCCCATCCTTAGTTTCCCCAAGCCTTCTGTCTTGGTTTAGGGCAAATTTGGCAGTCAACTTCCAAAGGAGTCCCTCTAGAAAGCAGATTCAAGTGGCCTCTCCCCCAGCTGGTTTGGGGACAAGATTTCCTTGGAGAAAAGTGGAAAAAACCTGTTTATTTAAGAAATAAAGTATTCACAAGCCAAGAAAATTAATATTAAACAATAAAACTTCTTACTGCTCTGAAAAGATGGCAAATTCAGAAAGTCCTCTTTGTGGGATCAGAGCTTGACTCGCTCAGTCTCTTATCAATCTCTCCTGAGCTGGAAAATGCTGCGTCCTTCAGGACAGGACAGCAACATAAAGAGACCAACAGTCTTCCCCAAACTAAACTGATGCATTAAGTAACAAGCTGTGGTCAGTTCTGGATGACTATAAAGCAGCCCTGGCACAGGCTCATTCCTGTTGTTGCATCTCCTGTGTTTGCTGTGTAGCCACATGAGATGATGAGCCCTCTGCCCCTTGTGTGAAGCACTATCCACCTTCCTGAACCTCTCCAGACTCTGAAAACACCCAGCCTTGGAGCAAGGCAGGAAACTTAGTCCACAGCACAAGTTTTAAATTGGAAAATTACTATTTGCTGAAACAAGAATATGTTTGCTGCAACTAGACCTTTCCTGAAAAACTCCTGCTCAGAAGCTCCAGACCAAACTTGCCTCCAAAGAGAAAGAGGAGAACTCCTGTAGAAGCACATCTTGGTGCAGCTGCTTAGCCAGGGGTTCAGACACCTGGCTCAAGCTCTGGCCCCAAACCTTGAGAAAGATTTAAGCAGTGTCTACACCCTCCAAGTCTGTGCTTCAAGAAATCATCAACTATTTTAGACAGTTAAGGGCACTGTATCTCCCTCTTGAATATTTCTGAAAAACAATTAAGTTGGAATCCACTGAAACAAGAATTTATTAAAAAAAAGTGGAAAAAAAAATTTCTCAATTTATCCTCTTTATATCCTTTCTTTATCCAGCATCTTGAAGGAGAACAACCCAATATTCAGTATTCACATGTGGAATTTCCTTCTTCCAAGAAGAAAAACAAAAACTTAAATTTTCCTGCTAAATAGCTTACATGCCTAACAATACATGTTATGATACATTCTTGCCATATTCATGAGCAAAAGTCACAATAACGGGTGTCACTTTTAATGCCAATCCTTTCAGGAATATTCCACATTTCCCAGCCCATATGCCTCTAAAAGATCATAAGGTTTCATGATGTTGTGTTTGACATATCACACATGTATTATTTCAGCTCAGGCCATTGTTTTAGTGAAGCCTTGGAGCCTTTGCAGTCTCCAAGCCTGCATACAGAGACATCTTTGAATGATGTTTCTGGGCTAAAATCAGGCTTTGGTTTTTTCTATCTTTGTCACTCCTCAGCTGGACAACATGGTACATGACAGGAGCCATCAACACTCAGGAAATTTGGTCCACGTGCCTCTCCAGCAATGTGAGTTACCATAAGTTTTTCAGGCTTATTCTTCCCTCTCTGGAATGTTTTCTGCTATCTTTTCTAAAAAGCTCAACATTTTAAACTTCAATTAAAGAAGTAGAAGCAGAGAGAGATGACCTAGGAGGACCACAGTGATACTGCCTAAGCACGCAGCACCATGGTTGGGAATGCCAGAGCCTACCTGAAAGGTGATGAGGAAAAGCTTCACAGTAGCAAAAGCAAAAGGAAGTCCAGGGAAAATGTGGGCCTCCTGAAGAGTGAGGCAGGAGACCTGGTGACAAAGGACATGGAAAAAGACCAAGGTACTTCAATCTCTCCTCCTTGTCTTTACTGATAAGATATACCGTCAGGAATCCCAGTCTCAGTTTCAATTTCCTGAAACTGGTGGAAAAGGTGGGAACAGAGCAGAACTTCCCTTAGTGGAAAAGGACTAGGTTAGGGAATATTTAAGCAAACCAAATGTGCCCATGGACCTGGCAACGTACACCATGGGGGGAACTGTAGTTGCCATTGTGAGTTCACTCCTAGTGGTGTTGAAAAAGTCATGGGTGTCTCAAGAGACTTCTCAGGACTGGAGAAAAGCAAATTTCACTCTTGTCTTCCAGAATGACATGAAGGAGGATCCAGGGAACTAAAAGCCACTCAGTCTCAACACAATCATTAGGAAAGTGATAGAACAAAACCATTTCCCAACATATTAAGGACAAGTTGGTGACTGGGAGAAGTCAGCATGGATTTATAAAGGGGAAAATATGTCTGAGCAACAGAGTCTTCTGCAGGAGCTAGGCAGCTGAACTGGGGCATAGGCATGATACAGACACCAAACACAGAATTGCCTTTTTGCCATTTGTTTCTTGAGATTGCTCCATAAGAGGGATGGCATAATCTCTGGCAGGCCTCTGGCCTCCCTCATTTCTGAGTCAACTTCTTTAAATGAGCAGATTGTTAAGAGTCCAAAATATCTGTAGTCAAAGCTGAACAACATGAACTGATAAAAGTCAAACTTCACAAAAGATATTGCCTTGTGTGTATTAGCCAAAAATTCTACCCTTGCTTGCTTGAAATCTGTATTTTATTTAGTTAGTCTACATGAATATGTGGTTATGGCTGCAGCATGAAAATTCTGGTAATAGTCTTTATAACAATGAGTGCCCTGGCCCAAATATTTTCCTTTATGTCAGTGAAATTTCTGATAATTAATTTTGACACCTTGTATTAAAATAAAAATAAAGAACACTTACCGAGGTTCTTTAGCCAAAAATGTAGCATAACACTCAGAGAAGCTTGATTATTTTCCAGAAGACAGGTTTTTTTGTCAAAAAAGGTTTCCCTGATTTTGGGAAATGTTTCACAAGAATCTTATTCAAAGTTTGGCACTTAAATGTAAATATAACATTTAATTTTAGCTTTATTGAACTGTCCAAAAATTATTCTGTTCTGGTCTACACCAAGAAGACCTCAGAGTTTTGAACTGAAATGCTGAGTGACAGAGGTGGGAAGGTGAATAAAACCTTCTCACTTTCACACAGGACAAGAACATCTAGCAGATGTCAGGCTGAGAGTGAGCAAAAGGAAGCTCTTGCACGTGTGCTTATGCTGAGGATGCCCTTCAAACAAGATGACAATAAAGCTTTGGGGGACAAATCCTGTGTGTGCTACTACATACAAAGACACCAACCCCGACAGAGAAAGTCTCTGAGCCATGACTACTAGACAGTATTCTAGTGAAGAACTGCTATTTGTTTGCTCTTTGATACTTGGTACAGGATGCCTGGTTCAGGGCAAAATGAACCTTTAATCTTCTGTTTCCAGGGAAGTAGAAGTGAGCTTTTTGACTGGTAGCAAAATTTGGTTTTTCCATCTGAGTATTTTCTGCATGTTCTATCTTTAAGTTTTTCAGGACAAAAAACCTGAAAAACAAATACAACACACAACCTCACACACACACACACACACCGACATTCAGAGGCTTTTATTACAAAATATTTACTTTTTTATACAAAAAACCCAACTTTCATCAAATTTTAAGTTTGTTATATACTTAGAAAACATAAAGGAGCAAATGATAAAGCATGGAAGATAAATTTTAAGCTCCTTTAAACCAGGTAACACAGCCAAACACTCTTTCTTTTGGACTGCACTTTGCTCACAATTCACTTAGTTATTTCAGCAGTTATTTCTGCAAAGTGTACCATGCCTTATGTAACAACACAAACACATTCAATAACTAAGCCAACTTTAGTTTCTGCTCCCTAAATTTGTAGTCTGAAAGAATTTAGGTCAGGTGTACCTTCAGCTTTTGGAGAATGGTCTTGTCCATTTTGCTCAGGGGATCAAGACATTCCAGAAGCATGAAAATTACGTAGCTAGGGTCAAAATCCAGATTTGAGATGTCATCTTTAATTTTTAATGCCCTTGGCTTTTCCTATTGGCATAAGAATCACAATGCCTTACTATTTTGGAAAGTCTATTTCTTATTATTTTATGTAAACTTTAGGAAAAGCAACATGGTTAATCATTCAGTGACTAAGTATGAAAATCATTAGAAGGAATCTTTACAGTTTATTGAAACATTTGCTAACTACCATATGAAGATTTAGTAGCCCTTTAAAACTATGATTATTTTTCCAGGACATTGGAAGCTCTTTTAAGATCTGTTACAATCCAATATGCAATTCTTTTTCAGCGAGATTTCACAAAGTGTTGAGCTATTTTTCTTTATGCTATGCCTGGCACGTATGTGTAGCAAGCTTGCAAGCTTGGCTGTCATGAATATTTCTTGAAAAACAGCCTTGGACGGAAGTAATTTTTCTAAATTAAATAAATATGTTGTTTCTGATTTTCCAAAATACCCAAAGGAACTAGCTCACATTCTAGATCAATGGCCTGCAAAATTTCACCTTGAAATATGATGACTTTTTTTACTTGATGAAGCACAAAATGTCTCTGGGAACAAACAAATTTTGCAGTGGATTGGGTCCTACAAACTTCACTTTCCCAGAAAGCAAGTTTTCCTATTGATTTTAATGGTGTTGATTATCTGAATTTTCATGTTAGCTGACAGTCAGGAGCACTTTGCACAGGTGTCTGTACAGTCAGTATTATTTTGCAATTAGCTTTCTGGGATATTTGGACTTCTAAAAAGAAATGAGGTTTGTTTACTTTCTTGGGAAAAGGCAAATTCCAGTCCTGCAACAGATAAGGATTTATGAGAGTAAAATTCCAAATCATTTTAGACATGATCCTCAAATCCTTTTTTGCATTGTCAGTTTGTATAAGAGATGCTGAAGACTCCAAGTTAAGAAGCATAGGGGTAGGAGATAAAACATTTTGAGGGCTCAGGCCTCTCTGAAGACACTAACTCAAGGTGGGCTGGGAGCTCTGGGTACAGCAAACCACTGTGGGTGAATTTCAAACACACTGACTAAAACCTTTAAGAATCAGTGGAGAGATACAGATTTAAATGAGGTCTTAATGGCTTTGTTACAGCAGGGGGAACAGGAGTTCCCCCTTCTGTACAGAACTTCTGTCTCCTCAATGCCATGAAGCATTGCAAATGAGAAAGCACAGGTGTGCATAGGGAGGGCAAGAGCAGCCCTGAATTCACCCATCATTTATCACCATGCAAGAGCAGTGAGGAACCTAAGGCAGAATGGGCTTCATGACTTCACTGTTGGCTTGAAGATAGACATCACTTCAGCTTAAACCTCTCTGCAAGCAGGGCTTTGTCTTGTCTCTGGTACACTTCTTGTTAGCTTTGGCAATAGCTGCACAACTCTCTCTCCTCTCAGTGGTCTGCCAAGAAAGGTGAGTCGGATGTACAGGAAGACTTGGGTCTGCTCCACAAAGTGTTATCCATAGAAACAGAGTCAGAAAGTCATACAGATGTGCCCAGAAAGGCTATTAGATCATCAGGATTGATTTTCCAGGATAAAATAGGCCATGGTTTTGTTCAGATTTTTTTGTGTTTGGGTTTTTTTGTGTTTGTTTGTTTGTTTTAAATTGAATTTGTTCCATGTCACGTTTTCTACCTTGAGTTTCTCTGAATCACAGTCTTCCATATATACATCTAACCTTGAAGGGAAGACTTTTGGGACAATAAATTGCTTTGGCTTTCCAAAACATTTTCTTCAGTTGTACTTTTCTTCACTTTAGTCCCAGAATATCTTGTGATGAAAGAATATGTGGCACATTCAAGTTACTTATTCATCCTCTTTTTTGAACAGATTCTGAGGTCTTGCACTGTGCAGAATTTTTTTCCCTGCACTGAAATATTTTTCCTGGCTCATTTTTTAATATCTTCTTCAGTTTTTCAACATATTTTTATAACTACGGGATGACCAGAACTGTACATAAGGTTCCAACATCTGTGTTCCTGCAGCTATGTACAAATGTAAAATTATATCTGTATTTCCAACCATATTGATTGGCAATATTTTCTCATCAATAATTTCCTTGTTACATTTGAGTGAAAAGTTTTTTTAAATTTCCTTTTACCAATTGAAAAATGCAAATTGAAACAGACCAATAAATTTTCTGAAATACTGTTACATCTCTGAAATTATTGCAGCTGAAAACATGTGTTTTCATATATGTAGGGGTACAAGGAGAACCTAAAAAACAACTGAAAAGTATTGAGTTGACATTTTAAAAACGAAGTATTTGAATGTTTTAGTCTGAAATGTTTCATTTCAAAATTTGCTTCAGCTTTATTGTAAGAACATTTTATACTTGAATAGCAAATAAAATATTTCTGTGGGGTCAAATAAAGTAATTTCCTCAATCTTTTGTGGGTTTCTTAAGTCATTGATCAAGAGCAATTTGAAGAACAGAATAGCAAGCTACTAGGAAAGACTTCTATTCTGCCTCCTTTATTGATCATTTACATTAAGTTTACTCTATTTTTTTTCCTTAAAATTTCTGTCTGATGAGAGAACATCTCATTACTTTTGTTTAGAGCTACCCATTTGCCTTCATGAATCCTGGCACAAAGTCAACATCTCAGTTATTGGAAATTATCCTGATAGACTAAAATCTATTAAGCATCTCCTAAATATCAGACCACTAAGCCAAAGGTCACCTCAGATATATATTCCTTTGGAACAGGTGATTTTTAACAGCAACATGTAGGTATGTTGCTCTGTAATACTCCTGTGAGCAGCACCTAGCTCCTTCAGCTGCTTGTGAAGTGTCTCATGGAGTGGTTTATTTCAAACATCACTGGCTGCATCTTTAAAAGAATTTTTGCCATCTCTACACTATGAAATTCCT